CCATTAACGAGCCCTTGCTGAACATTTAAATTCCGAGTCAACATAACCCGTGCTCCTTCAGCCACGTTCAGAGTGTCAGGCAAATCACCTCGTCTTCCTGCCAAAGGTCGGTTCTGTCGAGACATTCTGCCAGTCTGAGGGTCCTTCTGGAAATCATCTGCATCAATCTTAATAATATTAGAATGAAACTTTTCCAGTGTGGCTGTGTTATGTTCATTTACTTGCTTGTTGGTTGCAAAAATGTGCAGGACATCAGTGGGACAAAGTTCTGGTTCTGTGACGGTGCGTGACAACAGATCTCTGTCAGCCTGAGAAAGCTCATCTCTCCTTTCTTTCACACGGATCCTGTTCAGCATCTCTGCGAAGGCAACATCATCTTTCTGACGCATAATCTCAGTGAGCGTGATCATGTGAAAATGTTCATGCCAGAGGTCAATATCTGCTGGGTCGAACACGCAGAGAGGTTTGGAATGTCTCACTGGTGGCAGCTGATAAAAGTCTCCAACAGCTAAAACTGACATTCCACCGAATGGTCTGTGACTGCCCTTAATCTGTTTAAGACGTGCATCAACATAAGCAAAAAGAGGCTTTGAAACCATGGAGATCTCATCAATAACCAGGATTTCTGCGTTAATAAGTTCACTCCTTACTTCATCCAGCTGGTTCCCAAGTCCCTGAATTGGTGGTTTCAGACTTCTGGGCAATTTGAGGAGAGAGTGCAGTGTTGTTCCAGAAATGTTGAAGGCTGCAGTTCCAGTGAAAGAAGTCAGCAGAACAGTTGGATTTGATATATCAGCCTCTTCTGCATTTGTAGGCAGCCTACTGAGTATCTTAGATGCTTCTGAGTAAATACATTTAATCAGATGGGACTTTCCTGTTCCTGCACCTCCGTTGATGTAAAAGAAAAATGGATCTGGGTTTAGGCCACACACACGTTTCAGGCACCAGTCTCTGATAGCATAGAACACACAGGCCTGCTTCTGGTTTAGGTTCTGATACATCGTACGTAACACAGAAGGATCAGTGGAAGGTGGTTCTCTGACGGCTCTGACTTCTGCGAAAACTTCTGTGTTGTAATCTGGCACGTTTTCTTGTTCATTTGGATCATCTGCTTCTCTTGTCTCCACT